TGGCCCGCGTGCACTTTCCCACACTTGCGACAACCAACCGACTTAGCTTGAACCTGGGGCTCCAATCTGACAGGTCCTTGAGAAGATGACGACACAACTCTGGCCGGAAAACTCGGTCGGGGCTTCTAGAAAGCAGAAGAACCTCCACTCTCAACTCTCTTCCTAGCCAACTCAAGCGAACTCTTCTGAAGCTGCTAAACACGAAACAGATCCGCGGCACACAGATACGCATCCTTAAGGGAACTGGGCCTACTCACCGTCAACGCTTTTCGTGCTTCATAATTCAGACCGGCAACGAAACGCTCAACCTTGGCAAGATCTGTAGGCACCAACATCCTCGCGAAGCGTGCTAGCTCTAAGAACTTCTTGTGGTACTCAACCACAGATAGAGGTCCTTGCTGCAGATGAAGGAACTCATCAAACATGGCGGCTCGCACATGCGCTGGGTAGAACCTTTCGCGCATTCTGTCCTTGAGCGCGGTCCAATCAAACCCAGGCTCTTCAAGGAAGGTCGGACCTTCGTGGACCCACCATAAATCCGCTTCCTGGCAGAAGTAGAACGTTGCCAGTTCTACTCTCCTCTCTTCGGGACAGCCCACCACGATGAAGATCTTATCAAACACCCGTAGCCACTCTTCAAGGACTACAGGGTCTTCCTCACCAGCGAAGGATGGCGGCCGATGCCCTGACACCAAACGACCTACATCGCGATGCCCAGCAGGAGGCGGAGGCGGCACAGCTTGATTGTTGTTCAGCAAGGCTTCACTGAGCGACTGCATCGTCTGTGTCAGCTGATGGAGATTCTGAGCGAGCTGCTCGTTGGTCGGGGTCTCTAGGGTGCGAGCGCGGGGACGGGGAGGAATCGCAGACTTCTACAACAACAACGAGATTACCAAAAAGAGCAAACAAGCAAGACAGCAAACAACACACATCTCACCGCGCAACCTAGAGTCCTAAGCCTAACACTTAGCTTCTTAAGGTCGCTTAGAGGTCTCAAAACACACTTAACCGCTTAGAAAGTCTAGACTTAACTCTTCCTAGGCTCAAAACCTAGGCTCTGATACCAACTGTAACACCCCCCAAAAACAAGGCCCAATTGAAGCCCTAACACAAGCAGATTAACAACAAAACTAGCACAGCGGAAGATAAACGGAAACTGGATAAAAGAAATCCAAAAGGGGTGTTATGCCACGTATACCACACTAGGTAACGCTAAGGCAACAATCTGCAAGTGTATAATACTATCCTAATACATCAATCTAAACAGTCTAAAAACATTGACGCACAGGCCACAAAAACACAACGGTGCTAAGCTACCAGGCTCTAGACATCGCTCTCGTCTAAACACCACCTGAAAGAACACAAAGATAAACATTGGGACGACGCCCGGTCAGCGAATAATGCTGGTAACCCACCAATACCGTTAAGTATCATAAATAGGTAGATATAAGATATAAAAACCAATTTCGAAACGGAATACATATATATAAGTCAAAACCAAGATCAATTGTCAACACAAGACTCATCACTCTCAAGGATAACACCGGGAACACATCCCAACCACAAAGGTTAACCACACACAAGGATAAAGACTCACCCAACGGCAACACATGCCAAAACACCACAAGCCTCCGTGACTACACACGTCACGAGAGAAGATCACACAACGCCGGCTTTAAAAGCCCTGGCAACATCACCCATCGCGAGTTTGGTGTGCCTTCCTTATGCCCTGTTCCAACCTTATGGCTACCCCCAACCTTGTACCTTCAAGCCAACCATTACCTCCAAGATCCCCTGTACAGCCAAGTCCAACCTTGTTCCGCCGGGACCGTCGTCCCCTACCTATAACCACCAACGAACCACCACCAATCACGGCAACACATGCCCGGATAACACAATGTTATCCCCCAATCGCGTGGACCCATCACTCAGGCTACAACTCCATAATCACGTCACGGACACCACGAGGACCGCTGCAATACCTTGGTGACTAGTGTCCCATACCACTAATCGTGCAATCCAGGTAGAGCCACACATGTACCACCACTCACACGAGAGTCAAACAACGGATTACAATGAAGGTATGAAACATACTCAATCAAGGAACGGGTCACAGCCCAACGACAACAATGATGTATAACACAAGTTAACATCAACCACACGGAAGGTACGAACAACACACACGCTAGCATTAAGACAACAAACTAGCATGCTTAACAACGGGGAAACTCAAGATAGTTCCGAGGAACACACAAGACACCTCTTGGTCCAACGAAGCACAATGTTGAACACTTAGCACGAATCAAGAAACCAAAGACCCTACATGGATACCTACCATATAGTTCTAGACCTACGAAACATCAAGAAGACACTCAAATAGTTCCACAAAAGAACATCGGGAAGCCAAAAGATCAAACACCAAGACAACCAAATCACTGGGAACAAATCCCAACATCACCACAACCATGTTCCCGCGGGTGGACCCACGGGTAGTCCCCTAGGAATGACTATTCCCCCTGCAAAGGGAATAGCTCATTCCCGGGAACGCTATTACCATGAATAAAATGACAAAACAAACAATGGAATAAGTCTATTCCTGGAAATGGTATTCCATTCCCGACATATTCCATGAACCAAACACGCCATTAATGTTATAAATGTGTTTTTTTTAAAGAGAAAAGCATAATTTATTTAACAAGAATCTGAAACAATTACATCAGAAAGAAACGGAGGTGGCGATGATAGCCACGTCCTACAATTAGCGTTGAAAACGACTTCCCGTGTAATCAAGTGGCGGCCGAATTCGCGGATCGTTTCACAAAAGAAAAGCTAATATTATGAAAAGAGTTAATTCCAGCAATGGTCCTCTGACTATCGCAATTTTCCAAAATTGATCCTCGACTTTTAATTTGGACGAAAAAGACACTTGACTTTCTAAACTCACTAGTACAAAATAGAGCAAAGAAATACGACTTTAGGCTACCCTTCTTTAAACAAGGGTAGTGTATTGTTTAAAAAAAAGGGACGGTGGCATACTTGTAAATAAATCAATAAGAAATCGCTACCCTTTCTATTAAAAAGGTAGCGATTTTAAAAATAAAAAATGACGGAAAGAGTTTCCGCTACCCTTTCTTGTAGCAAGGGTAGCGCGGATAATTATATTAATTTTTAATTAATATAATTATCCGCAAGCGGAAAGCCGGAAACCATATCTTTAAAAAAAAAAAAAAATAACCCTCAAAATAGGGCAGCGGAAATCGATCAGCTCTCTCACAACAACCCTCAGGCCTCAACGCCTCACCGCCGCCACACCTCACCAGATCTCCGCCGTTGACACTGCCTCCCGGACTCATCTTCCCACGACGCCGCTGACACCGCGACTCCCTCAGCCTCGATCAAACGCCATCGCCGACACCAAGCTAAGGACTCCCTCATCCGCCATCTCCACCGCCATAGTTCTCCTCAGCCGTCGCCGCCGCGAGTTCCATCGTTCTCATCGACTCCTCTCAGCGGCTGCTTCGATTCACCGCCACCAGCTGCTCCGATCCGCCATCTGGAGCCAGGTATTTTTTTTTGGTTAAAATTATTTTTTATAATTATCATTATAATAAATATTATATATTATATTTTTTTTTATAAACATGGTGACATCGCCATTGTGTCGGAGCCGCTTCAGTTCAAGCACCAGCAGGAGAAGACCCTCCGCTACTTCCCCATCACCTCCGGTAAGAAGAATTGCTACATCATCACTGACCTTCTCTCTGGGAAGTACCTCCTCCGCACCTTTACTGTGTACGATAACTTCGACAGGAAGTCACACTCCCCATCCTTTGATGTTTTTGTCGAGGGTAATTTGGTCTTTGATGTTTCTGTCGAGGGTAAGTTGTTGGCTTTGCTGCCTATGATTGGAACTATGTTGTCAAGAATTTGAATAGTACTACTTTGAATGTGAGGCTTGAGCCAGTGGTGGGTGCACCAATAATTTTTTGAAATCTGCATTCAAGATCACACTAATTTTGATTCTTCATGCATTTGTTCTTAATTTACTAGTGGACTTTGCTATATATGGATTGAGGAAAACATTGACAACATAAAGTTATTGTTAGAAGAATAGATACAACAATGTTATTAGCTGTGCAGAGATGTCTTCTCACTGGGCCTAAATACATTGCTCCCTTTTTTCTCCAATTGTTGCCACGAAAGCCTTGAAGGAGCTGTGTCCCTTTGTGTTCCTGACAGAATAGGTTGGAATGGTGACCCCTGTGCCCCTACTACATGGGTTGCTTGGGAGGGTGTTGCATGTTGTCAGCCTAAAGGTGATTAGGTGAATCCACACTTGTTATATCCCAAATGTAAGTAATTTTTTTCTCTTAATACTAAGTTTGTGTATAGTATCTATTGGGCAATGTGGGAAGTTTAGGACATTTTCCCTGCTTAAAAAGGTTATACTCTCTTGGATTGTTTTGATTGAAGCTATAAGTTCTGTTGTCATCCTCAAATTTCCCAATGCCAAAGATCAATACACTATGAATGAATTGCACAACTACATGAGATGTCAATTGACAAAATATATAGGTAGGATTCTAAGGAATATAATATTGAACTTCAAATTATGAAGATGTTTCCTGTAACTCCAAATTGATCAACCTGTGAGAGTTGAATGCTGTGTTGCTTCACAGCACATTTGCCAATATTTTGCATCTCAATGATCTCATCCAAAATTTAGTAAGGATTAGGAAAAGAGACACAGTATGCTTTGGAGAGCTAATAGAACTGTAGAAAGCTACATTGTTAATGGAGTATACACACATGCATGGATTCAAAGTCAAGCACTTTAGGATAAGAAACAGTTGACTTTTATTTTCACTGCTTTGATAATCTATATGTATGTGAATCCTTTTGTCTGTACATCATATTACATTTGAACCCCATTTGTTGTATGAGTTATGCTGGTCTAATTGTGACAATATTCAATCATTATATTCACAGGATGGTATTAACCCTGGTGCAAATTTATTATATGCAGTGGAGGTCCTTGTTTCTGGGGTATATAATCTCATCTTTTTTCTATATCTACCAATAAGAAAATGTTGGGCATTCCCTTTCTGAATTGTAATTGGTATACATTTCCTACAGCCCACTGATAAGCAGTCTCTACTTGATTCTGGAATCCTGTGCTGTGTCATTCATATTCTCAATTCTCTTCTTGGTCCCAATGAGGGTCATTTGAGGCAAAATGTTGGCAGTGATAAGGAACCAGTAATGGCAGAGAGAAATCTTCGTGGTGACACTGAATCAGTGTGTTGGCTTGAGGTAGTTTCTCCACATGCCTGTTCTGTTTACTTGTTACTTTAATAACTGATTTTGTATTACTAGCTTTTTGAGTGTATGTTATTGGGTACGAATTTGATAGTTGTTTACTATTTCTATTTGCATTATGCTTACTACCTTATCATTGTTTATTTGATTTCTTTCTATGTTTCTTTGGAGATTCATCTTGTACTAGTGCATGCTGGCCTACATTGACTAAATTTTGTGGCAAATAAACAATCCAGCTCCACCGTCACCACATTCTGTTCTTGTGGCATGGATAATTGTGTATATAGTACTCACTCGTGTATATTCCAGACCTAGGATTAAATCCATGACTATTCATTATAACTTTCAAGGATGGAGAAGTTGAAACTGAAAATAAAAAATTGAGTTACATTAAAAGACACAAGTACTTAGCCTATGTGTTTAGTCTTGAAGTGAACTTTTGGATGACTTGGACAGTGTGTAGAGGCAGTTGGAATTTATGAGGTTGTTTACTGCTACTTTTAGAGCACTGCAATATTTGTTACTATATAAACAATTAAACATATAAACTATTGCTTAATCTTGCTTTTGTTGAATCATTCTGTTTATTTCTGTTCTGAATTATGATTGGTTTATTCTTGCTGTTCTAGGAGTTTTCTTTGGTATCTGCAATCAAGAAAGCAAAATGCTTGGAGAAGAGGTGAATTGAAGTTCCTTTAGTGGCAGTCATCATATTTTATAATTAATTTTACCTTTTTTTTCACTGTTGGTTAAAATTGTTTAGGTAATGTACTAATGTGTTAACTTATATATTTGGATGGATTGTGAGAGTATTGTATGTGTTGAAAATATTGTATTGATCAATGATTAGTATTGTGTTTATAATATTGTGTTGATATGTAATTTGTGAATATAATTTTGTACAAGATTTTCAAAAAAATTTGGGGATTTTGAAAATAATAAATTAATTTAAAATAAAAATCCGCTACCAGTACCGGATGAATTAGAAAAAAAAATTATATAATAGCATCCGCTACACTTCTATCAATAGAAGGGTAGAGGATGCTTAACAAATTTTAGAGGAATCCGCTACCCTTCTGTTTGAAGAAGGGTAGCGGATAGTCAATTTTCCGCTACTGTCCTACAAGGGACGCGGAAACCTCAAGGCTTTCCGCGTCCCCCACATCCGCTGCCCTTGTACAAGGGTAGCAGAAAGCCTTATACAAGGGTAGCGGATGTGCAGATCTGTACTAGTGACTGTTCCACCAAAGGTCCTTTTGTTAGATAATCGTTTGTTGGCAGTTAGTTTAAGGGGCAATTGTGTCTCTTAAGTGAATGGTACAAGGGTAAATTGCTTGGTCTTCTACTTATTCAGTCTGAAATGAAATGAGTGTTGTAAAATCCCCAATTCTATCATCTAATTTGTTAATCCTAATACTGATTTCAACCCTAATAGCGAGAGCAGCGAGCGATGGTGTGGTTCAGTTTTGTGTTTCATTCCTCTGCAGAATACTTACAGTGGAAACTGATTATTTGAATACTTTAGAAGTTGCCAGTACGGTTTGCAATGGACAGAGCTGGTTTGGTTGACGCTGATGGACCTACACATCGTGGAGCATTTGACATTACATTCATGGCTTGCTTGCCCAACATGGTGGCCATGGCTCCGTCAGATAAAGCAGAGCTGATGCACATGGTTGCCACAACAGCAACGATTGATGATAGGCCTCCTAACAACATAGGAACACCACTTGAGGTACCAAGTTACTAGTTTATTCAATTCAGATTTCAGAATATTCATCACAGAGCCAAACAAGAATTAATAATTTACTCATTGAACATATTGGAAAGGGAAGAATACTGAGAGAAGGCAGCAGATCAAGAGTTGCAATGTTGGGATACGGTTCTATAGTCCAAGTCTGGGAGCTGCAGAAATGCTCCTCAACTCCCTTGACATATCAGTAACTGTGGTTGACGCCCGATTCTGCAAACCATTAGATGTTGATATTACAAAAAGATTGGCTAAAGAGGAAAATGAGGAACAATTGTTTTCTTCGTACGGGAGTTCTTCGCTGCTTCTTGCGTCAAATAAGTCAGGGCTGTTAGGCTAAGAGGAAGAAGAAAGCAATATAATGAAAAGACACATTTGACCCTACATAAACGCGGTGTTTTAATAGAAGGACCTTTGGTGGAATAGTTTCGAAAGTCAAGTGTCTCTTTCGTCCAAATTAAAAGTGAAGGACCAATTTTGGAAAATCACGATAGTCGGAGGACCATTGCTGGAATTAACTCATTATGAAAATCATTAACTATTATGAAAGACAGAGAAAGGGTAAAAGACGAGAGAAAGGGTAAAATAGGAAATAAAATATAAAATCTATTCCTGAGTTCTCAGGGATAAGTTAATACTGGGGGGGCCTGGTAATAGCTATTTCCTCCGTATGGGGAATATAGGCCCTTCCCAGGAACAATGTTCCTGGGAATAAAAAATTTTACCAAACAAAGGAATAGGTCTATTACTGGGAATGCTATGCCATTTCAGGCTTATTCCGCGAACCAAACGTACCATAATATCTTCAAGAACTAAATCAAAATAAGAGTCTGTGGAAACGTTGTTTAGTCCTTTAATAACGAGCATTTGTTTCTACCTGAATAGCACCATAGTCCCTTTCCTTCAACCATTTGAGAGCTTCACGAATACTAATGGCTTCTGCAAGTTTGGGACAGTAACTGCCTAGCCAATTCTTTGTCACAACGGCAACAAAATTACCTTCGCAATTTCTGAACACAAACCCCAGGCCAATTTGCATACCTTGGCTGTCGATTGCGGCATCTGTGTTAACCTTTAGCCAACCCCTAGAAGGTTTCTCCCATTTTGCAGTAACAATATTCTGAGTACGTCTAGGAAGCTGCGTGTGAATAGAATTCCAGGCCTCAAGGAAAGTATTTGCGTCCTCAAACACATGAATAGGGTTAAGTGATAATCTACTCCACAACTTCAGGTTCCGAGGCCCCCAAATCTTCCAACAAGTAGTGAGGAGGGGACAACACGATGCACTGTCCAGAGCCTTAAATGTGTTTAATTTAAGTGAAGAATTATTATTGGGTCAAAGCTTTGTTGCGGCAAATCAGCGGAAGGCAGTCAAAGTAGCAGTGCAGAGATCCAAATGCTTTCATCGGCTAGAGTAATTTACGGTGAAGGTTTAGGATCAATGACTTAAATGTGTAGAAGGCCATGAGAAATTTCTAAAATGTGTGCTGACTTTTTTTTTGACAGAAATATGTAAAACTCTTTTACGAGTTGCGTTTTTGAAGCTGTCCCAGCTGTATTTTTTTTTTTTTCGTTAATTACTTAAAACGCAATTGCGAGTTGCGTTTTTAGTATTGTATACGAAAAACGCAACTCCCAAATGCGTTTTCATGTGACGTATTGAATACGTTTAAACGCATTTAGGAGATCCGTTTTACGTATTATACTTTTAAATACGTAAAACGCAACATCGAAATGCGTACTCTTGATCGGCGCTACTTCGCCGGAATTTCTGTAAAACGCAAGAAGACATTTTAGGTTGGCAGCCATCCCCCTTTGCTCTCTTCTCATATTCTTATCTCTGCATCTGCCCCCTCAGTTTTTTCCATTTTGTTTCCCAAAGGAAAATTCACTGACAGAGAAAGAGAATCTGAGAAAATCTGAGAAAAACTCATACCGTATATCATTGAGTCATGGACAAGAAGCATCAGGAGATCAGAGACGACAAAGATGAAGAGAAGCAAGGGCGCAACAGAGTAAAGGAGGAAGAGGCGGCGGCGCCGGTGCCGGCGGAAGAGCAAACATCGAGTAGTGGCAATGCCGCCGCCGCCGCGTCACCGCCGTCAGCGTCGTCATCTCCGTCGCATGAATTTTCCTTCACCATTTCGCTCCATCAACCGTCTGCAAAAGCAGCTCCAGATAGAACGAAATCTCCGCCGCCGTCGACTTAACTCCGGCTGATGAAATATTCTCCCACCGCCGGTACAAAAAACCGTAAAAACGCAACTTACTTTTGCGTTTTACGTATTATACCGAAAACGCAGAAGTAAGTTGCGTTTTTACCAATACCGTATCCGCTGGAAAACGCATGAAGGTAATGCGTTTTACGTATAAGAATACGTAAACGCAACTACCTCTTGCGTTTTACGAAAATACACGAAAAATAAAAAATACCCGGGACACAACCGAAAACGCAACTCCCAAAGGAGTTTTGCATATTGTTGTCAAAAAAAAAAAAGACGACACATAGTGGGAATTTCGGCCTGTTGACCACACATTTAAGTCATTGATCCGAAGGTTTACGGAAGAAGCCGTTGATCCTGAGCAGTATAAATAAAGGGCGGCTTCAAGGAAGAAGCATCATCAATTTTGCTCCGGAACAATTCCGGTACGGCTAGGTGCGGCGGTGGCGAGCTCTGGCCGTGCGATTTCCTCTTTGGCGCAGCAATTTTGGCTTCAAGCAACCTTTGGTGGTAGCGACTAATTATTCTTAAGCGCGGCTTGGTTAATTAATTCTGGGTAACAGTTCTTGTTTCAGCAGCACATTGTTTGGCTCGGCAACAAAGTCTATTTCTTTTTCCTTTATTAATTTGCCTAGCTACTTGCTTCTCTTTATTTTCTTGGAGTAATCCATAACCTTTCCTTCAATTTTAATTTGTTGATTTGTGTACTGTAATACAACGCCCAATGCTTGATTACGAAGATAAGAATGCTTAATGCTTAATGCTTAAGAATTTATCAATTTAATGTTGCTAATTGGGATGATTGATTACTGCTGTTTATTTTTTTATTACAATGAGTTGTTAAAGATTTATTATGTGGTTTTATCGTTTAGTTCACTTGTAGTTAATTCATGTTCCTAGATTTTATTGTTTTGTTACACTAGTATTTGCACCCGTGCGATGCACAGAATGGATTTGTTGTAATATATTAAGAAAATATGAAACCTCTTTGTAGACGACATTGGTAGTGACAACACAATCTTGTTCATCTTCGTCTAGAGCTAACATCTTCTCCATCCGGACGGGTTACTTGAATGAAAATATATAATGGTAGAATATCACTCAATTAGTTATCCTTTTATATTTTCAGTCAATTCGTAATATCAGATTCATTTTCAGCCAATTATTCTTTTTTTTTTCAGTCAATTAGAATATCAAATACAGTAATATTTTTACCTAACTTTTGTTCCATTTTTAATTGATGATGTAGATATTATTATTGAAATATTTCCGTTTCATTTTTAATTTACCTTTACTATTGTTTAAAATATGCATTTACTATAGATAATGTAGAATATTATTATTGAAATATTTTCCTCCAATTTTAAATTTTCATTCCATTTTTAATTAAAATACAATGATCTGACCATTTTTTTAGTCAAGTATAGATCATTTTTTATTTGCATTCAATTATTAATATTCATTTCCTTTTGTATTTTCAGTAAATTAGTAATATTATATTCATTTTCAATCAATTATTCTTTTTTATTTCCAATCAATTAGTCAATTAGAATATAGATACAGTGATATTTTTACCTAATTTTCTTTCCATTTTAATTTGATGGTGTAGAATATTATTAATGAAATATTTTCGTTTCATTTTTAATTTATTTTTACTATTTTTTAAAATATGTCATTACTATTTGATGATGTAAAATATTATTATTGAAATATTTCCTTCCCATTTTTAATTTTCCTTTACT